GGCGGGGGGTGCTGCGGCTGATGGGCGAGGAGGATGTGGGGTGGTGGGGTGGTACTGCTGCTGCTGCTGCTGATTGCTGTGCTGGGGCTGGGATGATGCGGTTGGGGTCGCTGCTGCTGCCCTGCTGTTTTGCTGCTGCTCATGCACTTTGGGGGGAATCTGCTGTTTGCTGCTGCTGCTGTCGGTGTGCTGCTGCTGCTGCTGTCATCTTGCTGCTGCTGCTGCGGGTTTGCTGCTGCTGCTTCAGCCGTCGGAGTGCTGCCGCGTTCGCTTTTGCGCCCGGCGGTCTGCTCAGGGTGCTGAGCGTTTAGGGTTTAGGGTTTAGGGTTTAGGGTTTAGGGTTTAGGGTTTGTTTGCAGGAATATGCGGCTTGATAGAAGCAAACCCTGCGGGTGCTGCTGATGGTTTGCTGGAGCTCATTTTTGCTGTTTTGTCTTTCAACAATCCTCCCCCAGAGCTCGAGCAGCAATTCGCCAGAGTCATGCATGGTCTGCTGCTGCTGCTGCTGCTGCTGCTGCTGCTGCTGTTCCTGTTGTTGTTGTTGCGCAAGTGGTGCTGCTGGAGCTGCTGCTGTGATTTGGGCTCCTGCTGCTCCTGCGATTCCTGCTGCTGCTGCTGGGGCGGCGCGTGTGCTGCTGCTGCTGCTTGTATTGCTCGTGCTGCAGCAGCAGCAGCAGCAGCAGCTGCTGCTGCTGCTTTGGTTCTGCTGCGGAGCCCGAATAGTGGGGTTTGTTTAATTGCTGCTTTTATTTATTTCTTCTTTCTTTTTGCTGCAGCTCTTGGCAACAGCAACCTGGAGAAGCTGCGGTGTATGTGCACTCCTGCTGCTGCTGGGGCTGAGCCGCTGCTGCCGCTGCAGCTGCAGCAGCAGCTGGGCCAGCGCTTTGGTTTGAGCCTAAATGCCTAATTTGCTGCTGCTGCAGCAGCAGCAGCAGCAGCAGCAGCAGCAAAAGGGCGACTACTACAGCAAGAGGGCTGCTGCTGCAGCAAAAGGGCTGCTGAGGCAGCAAAAAGGCTGCTGCAGCAAAACAGCTGCTGATGCATCAAAGGACCTGCTGCTGCAGCAAAAATGCTGCTGATGCATCAAAAAGGCTGCTGAAGCAGCAAAAGGGCTGCTGCTGCAGCGAGTCGGCAGCAGCACGCACGGCAGCAAACGCTGCTGCTGCAGACGCGCTGGCCTCCAGCAGCAGCAGCGGCTCCCGCTGCTGCTGCTGCTGCTGCTGCAGCAGCTCTGGGGTTTATCTGCTGAGTTCCTGCTGCTCCCTTTTCGCTCACGTGTCTTTTATGTGTCTTTATATTATTTTATTTTGCTGCTGTTAATTAATTCTTGTTTATTTATTTATATGTGTTTATATGCATTTAGTTGAGGTGTACATACACTTGGATCTGCAGCCTTTTGTTTCCACACACGCGAGCGCCTAAGACACACAGAACAGCAGCAGCAGCAGCAGCAGCAGGTGCTGCTGCTGCTGCTGCTGCTGCTGCTGCTGCGGTTGTCTCTATGGGCTCCTGCGTCTGTCTGTGCGTGCCTGTGTCTCTGTACGCGTATGTATTGTTTATTATTTATTATTAGTTAGTATTATTTATTATTCTTGTTAGTTATTATTATTTATTTATTATGATTTATTTATTATCATTCCTAATATTTATTGTTTATTGATTCGGACACTAGCATGTTGTTTGTTTAGTGCAGATTAAAGGCCCAACAGCAGCAGCAGCAGCAGCAGCAGCGGCAGCAGCAGCAGCAGCAAAACCTCCCCTAACTTTTCTCTCATTTGCTTCAACTGAAAAGTGTCTCTTTTGCTTCTTTTTTTGTCTTCTCGGCGGCCCCAAATGAAAGGAATTTGTGGGGCGTTGCGGTGTACAGACACTCCAGCAGCAGCCTGGCAGTTTCTCTTTTTTCTTTCTTTTATTTATTTCTTTCTAGAGTTTTCCATTTTACTCCATTTTCACAGAAGCAGCACAAAAGCCGCAAGTTGCGCATTATATTTCTTCTATTTTCCATGTATTAGTCCAGTTTAGTCTATAAATAAATAAATAAATAAATAAATACTTAAATCAGTTTTAAGTTCTCTACAAGCATGTTTCGCGCGGCCCAGCTGTAGATACACCCCAGCGCCGCAGCAGCAGCAGCAGCAGCAGCAGCAGCAGAGCTTTCGCGTCAGAAGTGCCTGTTTGCAGCGAACTGCGGGCCGTTTCTTCTCGAATTAAGTCCAATTTGAATAAATTTAATTCAATTTAAATTCTTTTCTTTTATTTTCATTTTAAATCCAAATTTGATCCGCCTTTTTCCGAGCCAGCGGCCAATTTGACCTTCCCGTTGCGGGCTGTTTCGCCGCAGCGCGAGTGCGCTGCAGTTCGGCTGCAAAAAGGAAAAAATAAAAGACCAAAAAAGACAAAAAGGCATTTAAATGGACAATAAAGCATTAAAAAGAAAAAATGAACGAAAAATGCAACAAAAAAGCGTCAAAATGGACTAAAATTTGGTCGAATTGCAAAAAATGCAAATTTTTTGCAAATTTCCAATTGAGGTGTACACGGCCACGCGGTGTATAGACACCCCGTTTTTCAAGCTTTTTTGCTTTTTGGTTTTTCGCTAATTTCGGATGCTTGCAGAATCATTTTGGATCAAATTGTTTTATTTAAATTAAAATATAATTTAAAAATGCTTCAAATGCATTTCTTGAAGTCCTTTTGGCCGAAAAATCTGCCAAATGCATGCAGCTCCAACAACCGCTGTCCACTGCTGCTGCTGCTGCAGATATTGCTGCTGCTGCTGCTGCTGATATTGCTGCTGCTGCTGCTGCAGTTGCAGCTGCTGCTAGCGTGGCTCTGCAGCTTGTGCGTGGCGTACAAGTCCAGCAGCAGCAGCAGCTGCTGCTGCTGCTGCTGAGCCTTCCTTGTACATGCTGCTGCTGCTGCTTCCACTGTAATAGGGTTTGGGGTTTAGGGTTTGAAATAATAGCTGCATGCAGTCCCAGGTTCTCTTCTTAGACGAGCTGTGAAGCGCTCAGGGTTTAGGGTTTAGTTTTTAGGGTTTAGGGTTTAGGGTTTAGGGTTTAGGGTTTAGAGTTAACGGCTAGCGTGCTCGGGTTTAGGGTTTAGTGCCTAGGGTCTTGTTTTCAGTCCTTACGGGTTACGGCTTACGTTTTTGCGCGTAGCCTTCAGTCTTTAGGGTTTAGGGTTTAGGGTTTAGGGTTTAGGGTTTAGGGTTTAGGGTTTGGGGTTTAGGGTTTAGGTTTAGGGTTTAGGGCTCTGGAATGAGAAGAAAAGCCTAAATAGGCGTTTCTGGGTTTTCGCGTTAATTTATTTTTGCTTAAAAATCAGATTTCATGTTTAGGGTTTAGGGTTTAGGGTTTAGGGTTTAGGGTTTAGGGCTTGCGGTGGCGGTGGGAGATGCCAGTGTAACGCGGCCGACTGCGCTTCCGTGCTAGGGTTTAGGGTTTAGGGTTTAGGGTTTAGGGTTTGGCTCTTGAGGTTCTTTATCTAGGCTTCTAGGGTTTAGTTTTGTTTTATTTATTTTTTAATTGGCTGTTTGCTGGCAGCAGCAGCAGAAAGAATTCTCAAAGTGTGGCGGACCACTGGAGTGTCCAGTGGTTTACTGAGGTCGAGGGTTTAGGGTTGAGGGTTTAGGGTTTAGGGTTTAGGGTTTGGGTTTAGTTTTGGCGAGGACATGAATTTTGCTGTTTTATGACTGCCGATGTCAACACTCGGCACGAACTTTCGGGGTTCAGGGTTTAGGGTTTAGGGTTTAGGGTTTAGGGTTTAGGGTTTAGGGTTTAGGGTTTGGGGTCTAGGGTTGGCAGGGGAGGTGACGGCGTGCACTTGCTTTTGAAATCTTTTTCAGAAATTCAGGGTTTAGGGTTTAGGGTTTAGGGTTTGACTCTGGCTCGCCCATTTGCAACGTTTGATGCCAAGCTATATGGCCTACGGAGGCGGCGAGGGTTTAGGGTTTAGGGTTTAGGGTTTAGGGTTTAGGGTTTAGGGTTTCGAGATGAATGAGCCCAATGAGGACTCCCTGGGAAAGCCTACGACGGAAAAATTGCAAAGCAGACTCCAAGACAGTAATGGAACCCTAAACCCTAAACCCTAAACCCTAAACCCTAAACCCTAAACCCTAAACCCTAAACCCTAGCTCTTCTTTAGCTGGCAATGAAGAAGTTGCTGCTCTGGTCTTCTTTTGAGAATTTCTGTGTTTCATTTTTGGCTCCGCTTGTCCATCTTTCAGGGTTTAGGGTTTAGGGTTTAGGGTTTAGGGTTTAGGGTTTGGGGCCTAGGGTTTATTGTGGCTGCAATTTCAGGCACACTCTCTGCAGCAGCAGCTGCTGCTGCTTCGTCTGTGAGCAGCACCCCTGCTGCTGCTGCTGCTGCTGCTGCTGCTGCTGCTAGCGGCTCTCCTTTTTACCTCATCAGCAGCAGCGAAGGACCAGTTTTGCTGCTGCTGCTGCAGCCGCCACAAAGAAAGCAGCCCTCTGCAGGTGCACGAAGTGAGCTGCTGCTGCTTTTGCTGCTGCTGCTGCTGCTGCTGCTTTTGCTGCTGCTGCTGCTGCTGCTGCTGCTGCTTTTGCTGCTGCTGCTGCTGCTGCTGCTGCAGCACGCAGCGCCTTTTGTCAGCGCTGTTCATTATGCTTCCCCCTTTTTCTATTTATCTCTCTCCCGTTAATTATATATATTATTATTTAATAATAATAATAATAATTATTATTATTATTATTATTATTATTATTATTTTATTTTTTATTTCTTTTGCTTTTTTTGATTATCTCTCTTTGCCTCTTTAACATTATTTGCTGCCTTTTCAGCAGCGCTGGCCTCGCATTCCAGCGCTTTCAGGCAGCAGCAGCAGCAGCAGCAGCAGCAGCAGCGGCAGCAGCAGCAGCAGCAGCAAAAGGCCCCTTTGGAGCCGCATAGCCAGCAAGCCGAAGACGAGCAGCAACAGCAGCAGCAGCGAGGGCAGCAGGAGGAGCAGCAGCAACAGCAGCAGCAGCAAGAAGAGAAGCAGCAGCAGCGGCCGGACTCAGCCATAATTCCTTTCTGGGCGTTTTTTACAAAAAATGGCTTACGGCAGCAGCAGCAGCAACAGCAGCAACAGCAGCAGCAGCAGCAACAGCAGCAACAGCAGCAGCAGCAGCATTCTGTCTTTGGGGAGAGCAGCAGCAGCTTAAGGAGTACGTACACCTGAGGCCCGGCAGATGAGACTGCTGCTGCAGCAAATCTTTTTGTCTTTTTTCTTTTTGTGTC